CTACTACTACTACTACTACTACTACTACTACTACTACTACTACTACTTTTGCCATTTCCGGCTCCGGCGCGCACCTTTTTCTTGCTAATACAAAAACAATTAGAATAGTAAACATATGCAAAACCCTCATAGGCCTCATAGGCGCAAGAAGGCGCAAGGGCGAGCGCAATGGTTTTTCAGTGTTTCGGGGGCCTGCAGCTCGCAGCCTGTCAGGCAGCTGCAGCTCTTGACAGCCAAGATCAGTGCCCAGCGCCGGTCGAGGCGTCCTCGGGGCTCGGACGGACTACGGGAGATGGGCGGTCGTTCTATGTGCGGTCCAAGTTGCTTCAAGCTTCCGCGCCTTCGACGCCGTGTATACTCACAATACAGATGGCGCTTGGATGTCTCATGAAGCATGCGTGGGATGGACACCTATATAGTATAGTTCATAGGATTGAATGCGCCAGGCCACGACGCCTTCCACGTTGACTTTCAAGACGATGAGCTCAGCAAGCTCTCCAGTGGAGCAGCTTTCAAGCAGCGCTGTTTCTGTCGCAGTGTTTCGGGGGCCAGCTCGCAGCCGGAGGCTGAGGTGGATGAGGTGATCGAAGGCGAAGAGGAGCTCTTGCAGACAGCAGCTCTTGACAGCGATCAGTCCGTGCCTCGTTCCTCGATCGAGAACAATCAGCCGGTCGAGGCGTTGGAGACATCGCAGACGTCGCAGCAGACGTGGTTGCGGCCCAGTGGTGCAAAGCGATGGGCGGACAGTTTGGAGGATCCGGATGAGGAGCAGTTCTGCGGACTTGCGAACTGGTCAGAGTCTCAGAGAGGGTTTCAGCAGGGTTTTTCCAAGAGTCGTATGACAGCATGTTTGACAAAGCTATCCTCCTTTTTTCACCAAAATTTGGGAAGAGGGAGTGTTTTTGTTATAAGTGACTCTTAAAAAAGGAGACACTGCCACTAAAGAAGAGTTGCCCCATGTACTCGGTAGCTAAAAGAAACATGTCGACGCAGAGGTCGCAGAAGAAGCAAGAAGAAGACAAGGCTTGCCCAGTGCTGTTTGCTCTTACTGGAAGTATTAGGAGTTGCATTCTGAGCAACTGATTTGGGTCTTGCCACTGGGTTACTCAACATTCTCTGGTGCAGATGGAGTGGGGATTTTTCAGCTCACTTTCCTGCTGTCATGATGACTGGCCACACTTTTCATTCCTTGATAGGAAACTAATAACCAGCCAATACACAATGGGAACAGGTAGTATTTGGACATGTCCTTCTTGTGCACTGATGTGGGTTGCAAGATTTTCACTCCAGGTGACCGGCGTCAGCTTTGAGCAGACTCCAGTTTGGAGGCGAGCCACCCTGGGTTGGTTTTGCCGGCGACCAAAATCCCCTCTGCACGGAGTTGGACGCCGCCATGTCCCGGACAATAGCCATCCGTTTCTGTCAATTCATCCCTACAAGTCCAGTCTGACCCAGTAAAACCTGGTCCTTTACCTTCGTTTTCTGGTGCTTTTGTATGACCAACTGAAGAGTAACAGGTCGAAGGACTTGGGCATGGCTTTCCTTCTGGCCATCCCTCTGAGTCTCGACTCGACGGCCTTTTTCGGTCAATCCAGAGACCCCGAGGTGGGGACCTCGCGGGGTGGGAAGTAGACGGACAGAACTGCAACCCCCCTCGCCATGCGTACATGGGTAGGCGGGTCTCCAACCAGCTTCGGTGATTTAGACAGGCTCCATTGTCCTTCTTCAGGTGGGGGGTCGAACTGGGGGGGGTTCTCCAATACCGTATACCCTTCACACCCACCCACATGTGTAGTATTTTTTTAAATGCGCTTTTTCATGGTGTGGGGCCAACACTTCGGCCGTGGTTTCCAGCCAGATTTCGGACGGTCAAGTGGGCCCCAACGATAGCGATGTCCGAAACAGCAGCATTCCAAGTACCTGGACTCGACTTCAAGTACCGAAAATGGGACATGACCCCATGAAAACAGGTACGACTGAGTCCCCATTTTCATCCATTTTCCGAGGTACGAACTGAGACTCCAAGTACTGTTTACTTCATTTATGCCAATCACGATATGGGGGGCAGGAGGGTCTTCACGCATTTAGATGTCTGTCAAGGCAGGAGACCTGGCAGACCCGTTCCAGCTGGCGATCCGAGAGCTGGCAGCAATCCGATAGCTGGCAGTGGTGGGGGCGACAAGGCCAGGCGACGAAGACGCCGAACATCTGCTTTTGAGGAAGATGTTAATCACGCAGTCCTGTGATGTTACATAGAATTGACGGTATCGTTTTTGCAACATCATGCTTGTCCAAGCGTTTTCAAAAGCTCATTGAATATCCTACTCGCAGCTGATTTGCTATATCCGCTGCACTTGGTTGCAGGAAAGCGCCCTCGGCGAAAGCCTAAAAAGGCTTGGGACGTGGACTTTTTTCACATTTGACATTTGACCTGGGGTGGCCAATTATTGTAATCATGCCATTTCAATATTTGACTATTCTAACAACTGGCCAGCGACCTTCATACAGGAAATTCTGTGCGTTTTTGTCATTTAGCTAGTGCAGACAGCTGCAGCTCGTGACAGCCAAGATCAGTCCGTGCCTCGTGCCTCGAGCGTTCGAGAACCAGCATCAGCCGGTCGAGGCATCCCAGACGTCGCAGCAGACGTCGGGACGTGCGAACTGGTCAGAATCTCAGAGAGCGTTTCAAAAGATCCAAGAGTTGGGTCTTCACGCAGAGATGTCTTCCGAGGCAGGAGACCTGGCAGACCCGTTCCAGCTGGCGATCCGATCGCTGGCAGCGATCCGAGAGCTGGCAGCGATCCGATAGCTGGCAGTGGTGGGGGACACAAGGCCAGCGACGAAGACGCCGAACATCTGCTTTTGAGGAAGATGTTAATCACGCAGTCCTGTGATGTTACATAGATTTGACGGCAATTCTTTTTTGCAACATCATGCTTGTCCAAGCGTTTTCAAAAGCTCATTGAACATCCTACTCGCAGCTGATTTGCTATATCCGCTGCACTTGGTTGCAGGAAAGCGCCCTCGGCGAAAGCCTGAAAAGGCTTGGGAAGATGGACTGTTTTCACATTCGACGTCGAGACGCTTGCTGATATCGGAGGTTTCCTGAAATGGCAATCACAGTCACATGCTTCTGATCTACCTAATGTTGCCCTGGTTGTCTTTTTGCAATTTTTTTGACACCAGGGGTCGGCTGGTGTGTTACTGAGCATTAGACGCAGTCTAGTGCGAAGGGAAAAACACAGGAAAAAAGCACTGGTTCTTTTTGTTTTTGTTTCAGCTCGCCCATACAGACTTACAAAAGGACGTTTGGTTCAATCACTTATTTAATCTTTAGAGACTGATTCCAGGTAGTGCAACAGCGCGGGGAGGCAACCCCATTTGCCCTGGAGGAGCCGGAGCTGATGACACAGGCTTGTTCGAATATATTTTGGTGCTCAAGAACGGGTGAATAAATTTTGGCCTGAGTTCTGGTTTGGTTGGCCGCACAAGCCACTGAAATGCATGAAAGAGCTCTCTTTTCAACCAGGCACTTTGTTTGAATGGTTTGGTAATCCAGGTGTGTTTGCTCACTTGCAAGGTAGACATGTTGGAATGGCCTTGTCCCAGGACCTGGATTTGTGGCCTGCCTTGCCGCAGCGCAGGCGCTGAGCAGAGATGGGGATATTGGGGTAGTAGCAGAAAAACCTACCAATGAAAGGCACCAAGCCAACAAGATAGCCTCCTCACTAGACTGTACACTAAGCCAAAAGGGGGAAGCTAATCAGCAAAAGTGCTTTGGATGATTCTGGCAGCAAGGGCATGGAACCCTCGACGTCGACATATACTCTTCAAGTAATGCTAGAATCCTGAAGATTCTCAGCGTGACTACACATCACAATTGGTGGTCAAGCGCACGCACTGAGGCAGTAGAACTGCAATACTGCAAACCTCTCAACACCTCAGGTTCCACCTCAAGAGACCTCAAGGCCATGCTGAATACACAATCTTTCGAACAATGGCTTTGAGATGTTCGGGTCTGGAATGTCGCAAAGCCTGTGTGGCTTTGGATATGTGTCACTTTGAAGTCCTTTCTTGGCGAAACATGCAAAATCTGTGAATTTCCTTCCCTGCTTCGATTGGGATTGACTGGGGAGAGCTATTGAGGATGCTTCACCGGCAATTGTCCAGCTCCATCCTCTCTTAACCCGGCTCTGAGCGCCAGGTGATCCCAGAGACTCCGAGGTGGTTTGAATCTGCCATGGGCAGGATCTTGTTTGAAGTCCACAAACAGGGCGATTGTTCATAGATTGAGTTCTACTTGACTCCCCCGTATCTTACTGTACCAGAATTGGTGTGCAAGCAGCTTCGAAACGAAGGACACTGAACTCCTGGCAAAGAAGGTTTGTTGCAATCCAAGCAGAATTCAATCCAAGTGTAAGCTGTTTTGGGTCATGAGTCATAAGACCAGTCAAAAGTCAACCGTTCCATAAATGCCATATCCCATGAAATCTAGAGAAACGGAACAAACACATTTCAACGAACACTCTAACCCAATTCTGGTTGTTCATGATGTGCCAAAGTTGGGTCGACCGTGCCCAGAGTTCCACCTGCGACAGAGACGCAGCGACAGACCCGCAGTTCGTGGGATCCAAAAGCAACGTGCCGGGATGGTGCTGGGACGGTGCTCGCAGCTCGTCGCTCTGACTGGAACCTGTACAGGGACTGGACAGCCCTGTGACATGTTGGTCTGATTGGTTTGGGAAGAGTGACTTGGAAGACATGAGATGCAGTTTTTCAACCAGCACAGCTGGCACAGCTGCAGATTTTTTGGCCCTATCTCGGCAGAGATGGCTTTTTTCGGGGTCTTACTGGACAGACGTGAATCCCGTGAACCGGAGATGCAGCTGCTGAAGCATCGTTATTTGAAAAAACTCTACTGGCTGTGAAGGGTTAAAGCAGTTTTTCGGTGGTCTGTGAAGATCACCCAAATGGTTTTACCCTGAAGGCATGTTTGTGGCTGTGACCAGTCACCGACTTCTAAGTAGGACACCAGCTTGGTTTTTAGCAGCGTTGGCGCTGCTTGGGCTCGAACCGACGATGTTGAAACATTATGCAGCAGCATGCAGATTCAATCATTTGATGTTCGACAATGTTCGACGGTTTACGTATCATTTGCAGCGGTCAGCCACAAGACAATGGCAAACGTTGTTAACCATTCATGCTCAAAGCCCCTCGGGTGGTCAAATTACGCGTTTTAAAGAGCAGAATTCTGTCGCGGTGTCACCCGCAGCATCTCATTTTCATGACTGGCCCTGTGTATGACAGAGCTCAGAAGTTCGTGCTGTGGCTCGGGTTCTTCTCGTCAAGAGCCCTGGCAGCCGAGCAGTTTTGTGTTTCACCATCCAAATCCGTCGGGGGATTTGGATGGACGCGGAGTGAGCAATGGTCTTTTGTTCTGTTGAGCGTCTTTAAAAGGGACCCAACATTATACATATATCCTAGATATCATCCTGATATCCTAACTGTGGTGCAGTATCCACTGCTGTATGTTCACAGTTTGACCACGCAACGCATGTAAGGCACGTGTTGCTTCTTGGGCTTTCCTTGCGTACAGGACGACCCAGTGCCAGCTGCGGCGTTCAGATGCACCTGCATGGGCTATTTCATGTCGAACTTGATTCCCTACATGCTTGGACCCTCAGGGTTCAGCTCGTTGGTCCTGCGCATTGGACTCTTGGTTTGTACATAGGAACGTTCGGACGCGAACCGAACGGGGCTCCTGGCATCGCTACGAACGGAGCGTTCGGACGCGAACCGAACTGAGCTCTCTTGGATATCGTGCATGTCGTTTTCTTTCCAGAACATGCACGGAGCAACCGGGTGGGTTTTTGACAGAACCGAGGATTGGTGATCAATTCATTGGCCTCGTGTTTGGTCTCCAGATATTGGTGCGTGGGCTTCGGTGAGTGGTTTATTCTGATGCTCCTTGAGCACCTCTTTCAGATTTTTGCCTCGATGGTCCTGGTGGGCACCCATGTGGAACGTCACTTTGCGTGGCTGGGATTGCAAAACTCATTCCCGAACACGACCCATGGGACTGCCGTAGGATTGCCGAGAAACGGCCAGGGGTGGTGCCAGGGGGGTCTGTCTGGGGCGGCATATATGGCAGTCCCATGGAGTGTCTGGGATTTCCAAATTCATTCACGGAAAACGTGAGTTCCCAAGAGCCAGAGCTCTTGTGAAACACATACAGTGAGTGACAAACTAGACTGCCATCAACTCTCTCAAGAACCAATTTTCATCCGGTGGGGTGGGATCGCTAAACAAAACATGTGCCGAGTGGTTGGTTTTTGCCCAACTTAACAACAAAAAAACTTCATGGCCCCTTTTGTAGCTCTCTAGAGCTGGTTCAGCGGAGGTACAACATGTTTTGCTTGAGGGGAACTGCTTCTTTTCTGTGTGCTGCGGATGTTTGATCTCCCCGCTTGCACAATTCTTGTGGAATTACAAATGAGTTGCGACAACTCCTCCCAGATGTGTTTTTGCAAGTTCTCTGAGCCGATTCTTTTTGGTAGCCAGGGTTTGAACTTTACGACGGAACATCGTTTTGGAAGCTACTCATGCTACTCGCACTGTTGAAGGATGGTGGAGGTTAAACATTTTTCAAACAACGCCGTGGCGCAATTTCTGCAAGTTGACATAGCTACTGCGTGCGATTGCTAATGTTGACTCTTGATTAATAACCCCCCCTCAACAACCAAGGCCTCCAAAATAGTATACTAGAAAACCAATCAATTGATGAATACATTAAAAAACCTTACTTAGATACCTCTGCAGCTACTCTGGCAATACTAAAATGATAAAGGAATCAAGATTGAAGACATCTGCAATAATAGAATGGAAGGATCAAAACCTAAGATTGCAGACATTTGCTATTAAAAATCAAAGGACACAATCTTTTTGGAAGACTTAAAGATTAACGAGATAATGACAAGTAAAGGACAGAGATTGAAGATCAGTTTCAGGAAAGCTGCAATCCAAGAAGCCCCAAATCTCTAGACATTATTTTAGCCCCCCAAAATAATAATGACTTGCTGGACTACCCCCTTTGCTGGAATGATTTTTTGTTTATCAATGTGTTTGAATAAGGATGTTTGTAAAGAAAGTGCGCACATACTTTTTGGATTGTTTGGAAGACTTAAAGATTTTCTCAGATACAATGACAAGTAAAGGACTTGATCAAAAGGAAAAACCTTCAAAGTCACCAAATCTCAATGGAAATCTCCCATTATTGATAGACATTTGCATCCAAAGATCTTCAAACTCATTAAACCAGATAATTAAAAAGCACCAAACATATTACTCCCCCAAAAAAGAAGACATTATTCTGGGGGCCTTTATTAATCAGTGCAGGGGAAACACATCATTCCAGGGGCGTTTATTAATCAGAGGTCAACATTACCGTGGCAAAAAGCTCATCCTTCTTCCTCACAGCCCTCATGCTTGTGGACAGTAGATGTATCATAACATATGTATCACCCAATGGGGGATTTTGGGAGTTCCGTATTGCTTAGTATACGCATGCGTCACACGTGCAGTACGGTGCAGTACGCTGCAAGCACGCTCTTCGTCCCGGACACCGCAGTAGGTGTGGGGGTTTTCAGCCACATCGGTCGCCGAAGGTCGGCTCTGACTCCTGATGATCCTCAATGGTAGTTGTTAGAATTTTCAGAATTTCTGATCCCTAATACTCTCTTTTACGCGTATCTCTGTTCTTGTGGATCATCCTGTTCAAAGTGCAGGCTTGGTATAAGACCAAGACGCTGGCAAGTGACCCACCAATTCCTCTCTCTCTCTCTCTCGCTCGCTGTATGTGTTCAGCCTTAGTTTGTGTTTGTTGCTCAGGCTGTTTTGAAGCCCAAAGGGGCCGGACTCAGTGGGGTTCGTCTTTCCTTTTCCCTCGTTCCGGCGCGCGATCTTGAGGTTCACGAGCGTGATCTCCTTCATGTTGCGCCCCGAGCACACCAGCGTGACGATGGTGGATGCCAAACCTTGGGCCATGGCCACCGTGACGACAGTGGTATTGCTGGTGCTGGGCATTTGGTGGAGTGGACATGAGAGTATTGATTTTCTGAAACGAAAGATGGAGGCCATGAGATCCATCATGAGCATGTCCGTGGAGGAGTGACTATGGCGGAATAATAGGTGTCTTTTCTTTTTGTGTGTGTGTGTGTGCGTGTTTTGTAGGTGATTGTTTTTTCAAGGCTTTTTCGGCAGGTTTTTTTGTGGGAATGGTGTTTGTCCCGTTGTCCTTCTACAATTTGTCCCTTTGGGGTTCCTTTTTAAAACAGATATGGGAGCGGTCGGTTCTTCTGGTTCTTTAGCATTGGGAAGACCCTATTTGTGCGATTGCAGGAATCTCATGCCCTGATAGACCTAGTGGCCCTGCTCACCCTACTCGCCCGGCTTCAAAGGTTGACAAACATGATCCGTGCGACGGATGAAGAACCCCCAATCTATCCGTCTTCTTTGAACCAGCTTCGAACCAAAGCCGCTCCGCCCTTCGATCAAGTTGGGAGCGGTTTTCCCTTCTTCCGTTTCCAGCCTTTGGGGGTGAACAGCACTTTTCTTTCGTCCGAGGTTCGAGAGCAAGCAACACATCTTTCCATCGGATCCGGACAACGTGCCCACGACTTCGAAAGAGGACCTGGATAATTGGAAGGCGATTGGCCGATTGGAGGAGTCACAGTGCATTGGTCGCCTGGCTGACTCGGGATGTTCGACTCGAACTTTCCAGTTGGAAGGACCATCCCAGGAGCTAAAAGGCCCAGGAAGAGGTCCAGTATGGTACACGCGGGTACACCCTATCCTGCACCTTCTTCGGGGCCTTTCATAGGATGGTCTTCCTATTGGAAGACAGCGATTTCGTTCTTCCTCGTTTGTTTGCGAAAGAAACAGCAGAGCCTTTTGAGCAATGTTCAGGTCAAGGATCCTTCGGCAAAGTCTACTATTGCAAGTGGAATGGTGGAGAGGCTGCTGCCAGGGTCATGACTTGGCATGGGAGCAAACTGAAAAGAGTGGATCCACATCAAGAGGCGGAGCTTTGCAAGCGGCTGATTCATCCCAACCTTGTGCAGACCTACACTTTCTCCAGCCGTGAGCATGGAGGTCTATCGCAATTGGTGATTGTTCAGGAAGCTCAGGCGACACAGCTAAGGCTTTGCTGAAAAACCAACCAGGAGGGATATCCCCAACCAGTGGGTTTCGGTTATTCCTTGATATTTTTAGTCTATTTTCCTTCTTCCAGGGGTTCTTTGGGAGGTCTCCGTATTTTAATACGCATCTAGGTCTATCGTGGTCTATCTAGTGTCGCCGCCCCCAATTCCTCTCAACATCACCAGCTCGCGAAGAAAGGCTGAGCTATGTTTTCTCATGAAGGATCATGGAAACTGCAGCATGGACATTAAACAACGTGCTAGTCGGTAGCCCAAGGTTTGTTCAGCCAAAAATCCAGGGACATGAGGAGCCCAAACTCTTACTTTCTACGAGCCCGGCATGGGAAACAGCACCGGGGAACAGCCCGACACGTTCTTTTTTTGTTGAAAAGGGGACGCTGTGGGGGTGCGCTTTTTTCTATGTTTTACACACAAAATCAGCCAAAAGAGTATGTGATCAAAAGACATCTGCTTTCTCACACACACACACACACTTGTTACGTGGCACAATCTGCTGGGAAGGTATCAAGAATTTAGAAACAACCACAAAAAATCAAACAAAAAACAAAGAATCTAAAATTCCAAAAAATCCAAAAATCCGAAAATCCAAAAAATCCAAAAATCCAAAAAATCCAAGCATCCAAAAAAACACACATCTATTCCTGAGCCAAACATAGGTCTGTTTTTTTTGGATTTTTGGATTTTTTGGATTTCTTGGATTTTTGGGAATGCCTCCATCAATCAATCATCACATCTCCACACAAAAGTAAAAATCACGCATGAAATCTCTGCCACACCATCCAATGTCAAAAATTCAACTGAAAATCAGGCATCATCTTCTTTCCAAATGCCTCTTTGGCTTTGCAAAGTTTTCTGTGTGATAGATTTTGTGATCTCAAGGCAATCTGCTCTGCTAGTTGCGTAGTACTTTGTGTCCTCACATGGCCGTGGACCCCGAGAATATGAGTTTGACTTCGAACAAGCAAATTCATTACCTTTGATTGTCCTTTATGCCAGGGAAAACTACAACTGAGAAATGAAATTGAAATCAACACTAAAGGCAAAAAGTGTAAGTGTAATCCATATAGCTTTAAAATCAGCAAGAGTGATAAGATAAGACTATGAAAGTTTCAAAAGATGATGGTGGATCTATTACTTTAGATAATACTGATAAAATTGATGAGCTGATAAATAAAATGAGCAGATATAGTAATAGTCTTAAATTGATCTTACAGTTGTTAAAAACCATTGATGACAAGACTAATGAGAAAAACTGATTTAAGGAAAATGGAGAAGCATCTGAAAAGAAAAGCATAGACCAGTAGGGGACTTTGAAACTAAAAGGAAGCAGTATTTAGAAATGTTGAGTTCAAGAAAAATAAACAACCTAAAGAGACCACCATACAATATTACAAAATTGATTATGATGAAGACACTGAAACATACTCATGATAATATATTTTCTATGACAACATATTATTATGAAATTGTATAATTATATATTTTCAGGCACAGGTAGTGTTGGAAGAATTGCTAAAGAACTTGGTTATACTATTATATCACTTGATCTTAAAAATGCTAGTATCAATGAGGATATTTTGAAATTTGATTATAACAAATTTGACAACGACTTTGATGTTACTTGGTCATCCCCGCCTTGCACTGAATACATCATAGCAAAACAAACAGGCACTAGAAAAATTGATGAAGCAAATGAAACAGCGAAGAAAGCCATTGAAATAATAACCTATGTTGATCCAAATGTTTTCGTTGAAAACCCCCCAGACCGGACTTTTGAAGGAGTCAAGAGTTTATGAAAAACTTTGTTTTTTTGATGTTGATTATTGTAAAGATGGAATGGCATACAGAAAATGCACCAGACTTTGGACAAATATAAAAACTTGGACACCTAAACCATTATGTAAAAAGAACTGCGTACAAATGGAAGGGAATAGGCATAGGGAAACAGCACAAAGGGCACCTAGCAATAGGAAGGAAACATGGCCTGAAAACTTGAAAACTATACATTGTTTAATCAGAAGGAATTTTACATAATCCCAGAAGAGTTGATCAGATAAATATTTATATAATGCCTATAAGCTAGATATTTACTATTCTAATTTTTTCTATGAGAGACCAATGGGGGATGTTCACCTGACCAATACTTAAAGGGATAGTAGCAATAGGTACTAAGGAGATGAAAGGTGATAAGTTTGAGAATGTGTATTGTCAGGTGTGTGAGAAGAAAAACTAATATTAGAGACAATTTTCATGTGCATGTGATCACGTCGATCACAGCTAATACAAAGACGCAAGATGTGAGCAAGACAAAAAACTTAAACAAACAATTATAAAACATTAAAAAAACATGGAAAAAGACGCACCCCCACAGCGTCCCGCTCTCTTTTTGTTTCCGTGCGCATCCAAGGGTAGGACCCTATAGCTGTTTTGGGAAGTTGTTTTGGGAAGCTGTTTTGGGGACCATCTTGGGAGCAAAAAGATTTGTCCCTAGGACGCTCCATCCATGGTTAGGTTCGGGTGGTTATACGTGGTGTGGGGGTTCTGCTGTGCCCAAGGAGTGGTGCGACCTTGGGACCTTCTCCAAATACTGCTCGACCAAGCCCTATGAACAGAAAGCAGCTCGGCGACAACGTTGTTCATACGAAATTCATCGAACTTATGTGCATGGCCTGCAGCCCTTTTGGCTGAATTGAGAGGTTGAAGTGAAACGGGTCAATGGAGCCCTTTTGGAGCCCATTTGTTCACGTCAACCGTTTTCACCTGTCTCTCGCGTCTATTGCAGCCTCACACGGAAAGCGGGAAAATATCCCAGTCCTGAAAGGAGACATGACTCAGTTACTCAGTTTCTTGGGCTGGAGGCCATCACTAGTAGGTTGGAGGAGTTGTTGGAGGCCACTGCTATCAGACATGACTCAGTTTAGAGGTGAAACCTATGGTGTTTCCCCTGGGTCAGTTCGATCTGGGGCTCCTCCCAGCAGTGGGAGCAGCCGCTCCCAGCACCGGGAGCCACAAATTGTTTGCTCTGGGTTCGGGGGGGCTCTGGATGAGGCGGGTCTCATGCAAAAAGGGGACCATCCCTTTTTTTTGTGGTGGGGCAGCGTCTTTGGATCTGTTGTTTTTTACTTTCTGGTCTTTGGCTGTCGGTTTTAGCTCTTATATAATTGTTCAATTTGTTGGTCGTCGTTGTCCATCTTACATGAACTGAACATACGATTTTGTGTTGTGAACTACCAAACTCAAGTACAGGCGGGAAACACATCTCTGGAGCTGGGGAAACAAAACGAAGCGACCTCCGCGGCTCTCCGTTGGATGTGAAAAGCTCCACTCATCCGATCCCCCCCAAAAGGCACGTCGCTCTGATGGAACTGCACGTCGCTCTAGTGCTCTTATCCTCTCGGATTGAGATGGCACGGATGGCACGGGCCCCCAATGTGGTTTCTGAAAAGATTCCCCATCTGTCGGATAGACATCTTGGAGTGTTTTTGCCATCTACTCTGAAACCACTGTAATTTGGACCCAAAAAAGTCTTTCAACACCCTTTGCATCACGTTGAGAAACACCATCGAACGGTTGTCGTCGTGCTCTTTTGAGGGAGTGACGCACGTGAAGAAGATGCTCTCGGACACCTGTAAGGGGACGGCCTACCTGCATTCCTGCGATGTGATCCATGGCGATTTAACCTCCAACAACGTCTTGTTGAAGTCCAAAGCCAAGGAGAAGGACTCAGACATGGGCTTTGCGTCTCGGCCTACCTGCCATTTAAGCCGCTAACCTCCGAGGCCAAGATTTGGTGGGGAGAGTGAAGACAACACAGACCACCCGCAACGATCACCCCCCCCAAAAAATACCTAACATCACCGGTGCCTGGCCAATGCGCCACAACAACAACAACAACAACAACAACAACAACAACAACAACAACAACA